AGGATACATTACATTTTAGCGACGAGGTCGGTCAACGTCCAAGAACTACAGCGGGATGACCACCCAAGGCAAGCTGGAAGAATTCGACCAGACAGCTTCTACTGCAAGGCGAACAGAATAACAGATCCTTAAAAGAAAAGGGCCCTACTGCTTACACGTTGTGGAGCACAGACGTACAAAGTCGTGCGAGCACTGGCTGCACCGAGAACACCCAGAAGTGTCAATTTCGGTGAACTCATGGTGATGCTGCTTTGACCCGCAGCCGTCGGAGCTCTTCGGCACAACGAAGTTCCAGCGAAGAGACCAGCAGCCTGGGAGCCAATTTCCAGCTACACGGCAGCCCTAAAGAAGCTAGCTGCTGATTGTAACTTTGGGATTCTAGTGACACAGGCGGCTGCAACAACTTCCAGTACCGCAGGCATGGGTTTGGCTACAACTGGAACGACAGCTGGTTCCGTCAACTTGGGAGCAACTGGAACTTCAGTTCCGGTGAGTCAACCAGTTTTCAACCCAACCATGCTACCTCTCGACGTCAGGCTGAGATTGTTTTGTTCGTGGCATAAGAGACGAGCATCTACAACAGAGTCTGTTTGCAGGGACCAACTTAACGTTTCATAAAGCATACGACATGGCCGTGCGGACAGAAAGTGCTGCACAACATCAACGAGATTTGAAAACCCAAAAATCTTAGGTTTAAGCTGTCAAAAAAGCAATATTACTGCTGAAATTGTGGAAACGGAAAGACAAAACAAACTCTCAGAATCCCAGACGTGCTACCGATGCCAAGAACAGCATTCGGCGTTCTCGTGCAAGTTCCAAAATACACGATGTAACCTCTGCCCCAAGAAGGGGCATGTCAAAAAGGCTTGTTTCAAGAAGTTAAGGGCGCAGCACCAAGCGTGGATGACACACAACGTGGAACAGGACAATGAGACCCTTGATTCTGATGATGATCTTTCGGACAAGTCATGGAGCCTGCATGAGCTGAATGCTGCCTAAGGTCATCCTGGAGATTGAAAACCGAGAGCTGGAATTTGAGATAAATTCGACAGATGCTTGCTCAATCATCAATGAAGCCACGTATTGTCCTCTGTAGCCCACGAAGCCCCAATCACTGAACCAGGAGGGAATAATCCTTCATACCTGGTCAGGAGAAATTTTACAAGTACTTGGAAAGGCGAATGTTTGCGTCAGGCATTGATTGAAACAATACATCTTGTCGTTGGTAGTGACACGTGGAACCAGTTCCAGTCTTCAGGAAGAGACTGGTTCAAAGAGCTGAAGATTAGGGTCTGTGGAATTCACCTCCTCGGCACCAGAAACAACATTGTGAACATTTTGAAGGTACATGAGGATGTTTCTGATGCGAAGATCACGGGGCACAAGGGTCCGCCTGTAAACTTTGATTTAAAAGGAGACGCTACTGCCAATTCCCTCCAATCACAGCCCGTGCCGTTCGCACTGCGTACCGCAGTAGAGGTTGAATTGAAAACTCTCGAGAACCAAGGTATTTTCGAACCGACAAAGCACTTAGAGTGGGCTATACCGGTGGTAGTTGTCCGAAAGAAAGGCGGGACCATTTGGCTATGTGGAGACTACCGAAGTACGGTAAACAAGGAGGCGAAAGCCGCAGTGCACCCTATGCTGACGATTCCAGAAATCCTAACCAATCTGCAAAACAGGTTGGTATTTTCTACACTGGACCTTGCTCAAGCGTATCAACAACTACAGTTAACAACAGAAACAGCCGACGTGTTAACCATTAACACTGCAAAAGGCCTCTACAGGGTAAAAAGGATGCCATTTGGGATCGCCGCCAACACCAGCGATTTTCTATCGATTCATGAAAGCAGTACTAGCTAAAATCCCGCGGATCGGGGTATACCTCGATGACGCTATCAGCGGTACGACCGCAGCAGAACATGACTCAACTGGATACAGTTTTGATGCGACTTGCTCAGGCTGGACTTGAACTCAAGAGGTGCAAGTTACGTTTTGCAGTGGAACAAGTTGTATACCTCGGATACATCATCGATACTGCCGGGATACACCCGACAGAGGAGAAACTGAAAGCGACCAAAGAGATGCCCGAACCAACATGCCAAACAATGCTGCAGTCGTTTCTTCGTCTTCTAGCGTTTTTCGATCGGTTTTTGGCAAACAGGGCAACAATCACGAAAGACCTCTACATATTTCTAGAGAAAGACGTCCCCGGTGAATGGCAGGAAACAAATTGGCGAGCCTTTAGACAGTTAAAGTATGTTATTGCACAGCGTGCAGTTCTCGCACACTACGATAAAAACAAAAGCTTGAGCGTGTCATGTGACGCAACCCTCTACGGCATCGAGGCAGTATTAGCTCAGCTAGATTCAGATAGAAACAAAACACCGATCGTCTTTACATCAAGAATGCTCATTAAGGTCGAAAAGGATTTCTTCTAACTGGATTGTGAGGGGCTGGCTACTATCTTTGCCATACACCGTTTTCATCACTACGTCGCAAGGCGTCACGTGAAAAGAATTACTCCCGAATGGATCGTAAAAGGCTGGCTATTATATTCGCCATGGACCGTTTTCATCGCTACGTTGCGGCGCATCACGTGACCATAACGACTGACCACCAACCACTGTTGGGCATCATAGGACAGGAGTCCCCAGTACCGACTGTGCTTTCACCAACTAGGACATGCTGGTGTGTTAAGCTGGGAGCCTATGATTATAACCTAATCTCTAGACCAGGAAAGCGAAATTAAAACGCTGATGCTTTAGGCAGACTACCATTGCCCGAGACTGACAATGAGCAACATCCTTCAGGCAACGTACTGATGTTAGAAGCCCCGACGAAACCTCCCATGACTGAAAAGGAACTGGCCGACAACACAGCAGTGGATCCCATTCTTGCTGAGGTTTTCCGAACGGTCAAACACGGTGAAGTGAAAAAGCTGGAGCGTAGCGCAAGAAGCTGCATCAAGCAAGTGGAACCTTGGCCTACATCAGACTACCGAGTAAACCTAGAGCAGTGCTCCCTACTGAAAAAAACCATTTGGCGCCCATATGAAAATAAACGGGTCCATACCGGTAACCGTTTAACCATACTGGTCACCAGTTTGTCAAAGGGGTCGCCCGTATGGCTCAAAGGGGTCCCCCGTATGAGCCATAACGGTCACCTATTTGGCAAACGGGTCGCTCGTCTGGGCAAATGGGCGACTCGTTTGGGCAAAGTTGTCGCACGTTTGCTCAAACCGGCGACCATGTTGCAAAGTGCACCGGTTTAATCAAACGGCTCTCCGGAGCCCGTTTGATATTGAACGTACAGATCGGCGGCGTTGGCACGCCTAGCGTTTCAGCCGTGGCAGCCAATGTTTTCCGGACGGCTGGGAGCGCCGGTTCATCGATTTCAGATCGTCCGCGTAATGCAAGTAATTATATTTATATTTCAATTGCGCTGATTTTCGATTATACTGCAACTAAACTAACACCTTTTTTTTTTTTGTTTTACGCAAACGCGCGCCGTTGGTGAGCCGATATTTTTGACAGACCTTTAATACTTTGTCCATCTTTGTTTCCTCAATTTACTTATTCAGCTCGAATCTCTCTCGCAGAAGACGCGACCGCGTGAAAGAATGTACGTCTAGACTCCGTTTCACTTTAATTCAAGACGCAGCGAAGGTAGCACGCGTACACGCGGCTGCAAGAACATCGAGTATTGCGAGAGCACGCCCGCCGTTGCAGCACTCAAACTACGAGCTTGCGCTGAGTTCTTTCTTCGCTCGGGCGCAAGCCGAGCTTCTGCAGCCCCGCCGCCATTTTCAAAGTTCGAGCGCGCGCGCGCGCGCGCGGGTTTGTTCTTCGGGACTACAAAAACGCATCTCCCTGGAATGCCTGGGGAGAGGGAGAGGGGCGCTCCCGGTGGTCCCAGCGCCTTGACCTCGCCCCCTCCCTCCTCTCTTGTCACCCCTGTCACGTGACCCACAGCAGCGCGCGAGCTACACGCTGATAAGCATCGAGATCCGGAAGGGCGCGCCTTGCAGCCGCTTTTTTCTTTGTCTGCTTGTTGTCAGTTGCTGCTCGAAGTTCGCTCGTCATACCTGCTTCAATCTGTCGCCTAACCCTGCGGTCTTATTGGGATGTCTCTCGACAACGTATTGGATGTGCACCAAAGCTATCAGTGTTCGAAAAGACCCACGTGTATGTCGGCAACGAGCGATTCTTCAAAGAAGTCGCAAATTCTCGCGGTTTGGTTGGGTTCGGCAAATGACAGCTCGTGCGCCGCATCGTGTTGAAACTTCCAAGGAGCCGTTCCCTCTCGTTTGTGTTTGTGTGGTTGTCCTGCTTTGACCGTGTCGACAAATATCACGGATTACCTCTTTCAAGTCCGCTATTGTTATGGTAAGTGCACTGCAACCTACGTGTTGGCAACGATTGACCGTTCTTCTACGCGTACTCTTCTAAATTATCTAAAGAATTATGCAGCGCCTATTCGCGCGGCAGCCAGGAGAATAATTTCCCCGAAAGTCTACCTGTATAGTGTTCACAGATCGCTTGCACGTTTGTACTTGTCTACAGAAGAGGTAATAAACTTTGAGGAGAATTGAAAACAATCTTTTGTGTCGGTTTTCCTGTCCACTTACAAGCACCTACGCGAGTGCATTTGTTCTACGTGTTTTCTCCATGTTATAAATACGTTTATGAGTTTCGGGACGTCTTATATATGTTTAAGATAACCAACCTCTCAGACGATACCCATTTAGGGCTAGCGCATAATTTGACATTTCGAAGTGCACGTTCAAACGGGTGGTCACGTGCCATGTCGAACGGGTACTCGTACCATACGGCACCCGTATCAAACGGGCACCTGTATCAAACGGGTACCGTTTCGAACGGGTACCGTTTCCAAACGGGTACCCGTATCCCATAATCACGTTTGATCCAAACGGATCGACAAGTTTGATTCAAACGGGCGACCAGTTTGCCACCCGTTTGAATTTCAAATGGTTTTTTTCAGTAGGGCTGTTGCACCAATGCCTGTTTATCTCCATGCTGATACGCACTAGAAAGAAATGGAGGTGCATCCAGGTTGCAGAGGGCAGCTGCAGCCTTGTAGGATGGCAGCGTTGAGCAGAGGTGCAGCACAACTGCCATGAGCTCCCCCACATACTCTGTAATGAGACATTCAAAGCAATTAAAAAATCTGCACCAGCCACGTACAAATATGAGCACGGGCATATACCATAGGTGCAGTCAGTCTTGCGCTTAGCAACAGTGGGTCCTTTCTTTGCTTTTGGATACTTGATGACCCACATCTTCTCTCCTTTCTTGGTCACCGCTTGGGGCCTTCCCGCATTTTCGTTGTAATGGAGGGCAGCGAGGTAGGTCCTGTACAAGATATGCATGACAAAAAAACACCTAAACAGGAAATAACCAAATTTCTTACACACCTGGCCTTCATGCTTCCGAAGCTGAAGTGGACCTGCTTCGGCGCAAACTGCAACAGAGTACTGTGAAAGCACTCTGTTGCAAATGTCTGCGCCGATGTGGACAGTCGAGGAATGTCGCGAAGCAGGTGAGTGGAGAGCACGATCTCCTCCAGCTTCTGGTGCGCAGGGGACCCTACAACAAGAACGTGGGACATAGTGCAATGCAGAAAGCGTATTTCAAGCCTCACAAAAATAAAAATCTGTCCTTACCTTCTGCTAGCCACTTTTTCTCTAGCTCCTCATGCTCACACTCTGGGAAGAGAGGGTCAGCGTGGGTATGCACACCCACTACGTGTGCCACCAGAGACTTCCATTTTGGCAGGATGAGGTCCTGGTTGTCGACACTTGACCCAGCACACCAGTACAGATGGTTCACCACTGCCCTTGTCCAAGACCCGAGCTCCTCTAAATGCCGTGACTTGGCAGCTGCAGCCAGCTTTTTCTTGATGCCTGAATTCAAATGTTGTAAACAAGGTAAACATGATGCATGCAGGGCACCTTTGGAAAGCCAACAGGCTCTTTTGAAACTCCAGTGCCAGCTGGAACCTGTCACGCATACTTCAATCTCTTTTTTACTAGCAGCAGCAACAAAGCTTGGCCAAAGCTGGCAGACCTTCTTTTTCTGGAAGCTGCCACAACGCCGTTCATATTTTTATGTCTAGATATACCAGGTCTTTCAGTGAAAGCTTTTAAAAATGACTGAAAATAGGTTATCTGAAAAGCAAAGAGGCAAAACAAAAACAAAGAATTTTGAAGGCTACCACCATGGTAGTAAGTAAAGTAAAAAGTAAAAAGAAGCAACCAGCTTCAAGATAGTCACCAACAAACTTTGCGCCGTAATGGGTATGGTAGGACAGGTGCGTATAGTGATATCAAATTTCGAAAATCATACCCATTACAGCGCAAAGTCTGTCGGTGAATATCTCTAAGCCAGTTGCTTCTTTTTACTTTTTGTAGATTGCTTTAGATGACCATGGTGGCAGCCTTCAAAACCCTAATTGCAACATGGCCCTAAAAATTGCTAATTAGAAATTTAAATAGCCCATTTTAGTTAGTTAGATAGCTCAATTTTATATCTTTTGCAACTCTTAACACTTCCCACGGCTGGGGAAGTTTACATTTTCCCAAAGGCTGCCTTCAGGACCACTGCCCAAGCTGGTGATAGTCTCATTGGGATAGATGGAACCTTTTTAAATCTTACCCTTCCCCACATGCCAGCAATCAAAAAGGTGGCAGATATCTGGGTGTTCTCGTCCCAGCCAAGCATTGAGCTGGGGATGCCGGTCGGTTACCAGGATGGCCACAATCAACGAGTGGGCCTCAAAAATGCTGAGGGACCTCTTGAGGCCTTCCAGCTCCATATGCTAGCTGCCCCCAGTTTCATTGGACTAAAAGAAACAAACGAGGACAACATGAAGCAGCACAAACGAAACAAAATGTGCCAGTTTGTACACCTCAATGTCTGAACATTGAGGTGCGTGTCTTTCCATTGCTGTGTTCAAGTCACAGTAAAGGGAAATGGGTGTAACTCACATCTCTCGATTTTGTAATTCACATTTCCACACTTTGTAATGATGATAACAAATTATTAAAAAAATTACAAGCTACATGGCCGAAAAAATGCTCAGCAGATATTTACCTAGTTGCAAGTATAACATTATATGCTTATGGCAGCATAGAATCTGGAGCACCTATAGAATTTGTGTACATACCTGGACGGTTTCAACGTGAATGACCTTGTTGTCATCGGCATCAAGCATCGTGTAGGAGCCATACTTGGCCGAGTGGCCAGGTGAGTCTGCTCTCCCGTCAGCGGCGATGGTGAGGTGCCTGCCTGCAGCAGCTGCGAACAACTCGTTCTGATGCTTGTTCCAGACCTGGTTACGAAAAATACAGGATAGGCAACTGGGCTTGAAACAGAGACCGAGTTTAAATTACGTCACATTTTCTTTACAGAATCTACTATTATGTCTTAATGAATGTGTTTTAATGGTTCGAGGACCAAATTTGGCCTACAAGACCAACACACGAGCAGAAAGAAGGAATTTCAGCCATGGGTTACTCCTTTCCAAACCAGGAACGAAACCACTCGTTTCTGTAGTAAACAGTTTCTAGGCCCACTTTATTGTGGTCACGAGGAGCAAAGAGCACAGGGAAAACATGGGGGGGGGGGGGTGTTTCTGTCAGTTTTTAACTTCAGAGTACCTTTTCGATTGAGGGCAGGAGAAAGGCCTTCTGGATGTTGAAGAAGGTGCCATAGGAGAAACAGACAATCCCCATGCTGGTGAGTGTTCTGAGTGTCTTCTTTACGCAGCTGCCACTGAACAGGATTGCCGCAGCCATTAGGATACTCCCCACCGGCTTCCGCTTGATGATGGACTGGCTGCACCAGTCATTCACGTGTCCACTCCGACAAATTGAGTAGACTTGCAGGCTGCAGCCAACGACACTCTTGTCCACGTGGATCAGGGGAGCAGCACATACTTGGCACTTCCCCAGGAGAAGGTCAAGGCAAGACTCGAATACAATGAATTTCCTCTCCTTTACCAAAGATGGTGTTTCCCTCTCAAGCCTGCGACACAAAAACCAACATCATCTCAACAAACTGTCTAAGCATGATAGATGATCTCATAAATTCTTACACGACTGCATACGGACCTAACAGAGCTGTCCTCTGGTGGACAATACGTAGGGTCATCTCTTTCCAGTGGCTGCTTCCCTGATACACCCAGGTCTTCTGAATCAGAACTGCACAAAAGGGGGGTCACAAAGTGATGTCTGGGAGTTGCAGGGCCTCAGGGAACTCCTAAAACTAACACAGAAATAGGTGGAGAGGTTGTTGCCAGATGGCGTTCAGATGCTCTAGGCATTGTAGGCCCAAGACCTTTGCATACCTCTGTTCTGGATCACCACAGTTTGACGAGGAAGAGGTCTGCGGCATAATTCCAGAAAGCTCCGTCTGCACTTTCTTGTTCCTCGATGGTATACATGCTTGTGTACCTAGCAAAAAATCTAAGGCATTAGAAATGTGCTCCATTTAAATATAATGAATGGGTTTTTGACTTAAACTCTGTGTGCTAACTACACCAAGCTCTCTTTAACAAATACCAAACATCTGCACAGCTCAAACATCGAGATATATGTGACACCACCTCCTTCTCAGTTTAACTCGCTCAAGTAGAATTCGAACAGAATTAAAATGATTCTCGTGTCAGTATATTTAGTTTACATGAATGACCGTACCTGCGTTTCTGCCGAAGCCTGTTGTCTGCGTCATCACGGACCGTGTCTCGTAACGTGACGATGCTGAAAACACAGGATGTCTAGCAGCAGTCATTGCTCTCAAGGCTGCTGTAAAGTAAACGAAAAGCAGAAATAGTCAATGATTGAGAAACAAAGGAACCTTTGTAGCAACAAAAGCGCTGTGTAGATGTCAAACGTGACAATCACTTTGCCAATATGAAGAGGCCTTTGACGGTTTTGCTCGATACAGGTGACGCAAAAGAGTATAGTCCCCCTTCGGTGTGCTTGCATACCTGTCTGGGTGCGGGCGTCGTCAGTCCATATCAGAGAGGTGGGGGAGGCCACAGGTGGACGCAGAATGGAAACCAACGCACCAAACGTACCTATGAACATATATCAATCAGCGTAAAGGTGCATGATTGAGCGACAAGAAAACTTTAGAAGCAACACAAGCACTGTGTACATGCGTCTGGTGGTTCTGCTTGAAGCAGGTGACACTACGAAGTATAGGTCCCGCTTGGAGCACCTGAGGGGGGATCGGTGGCCGAGTGGGCTAGCGCACACCAGCTCAGAGCACGTGGAGCGAAAGCTCGCGCTGCAGAACCCAAGATGCTGGGTTTTATCACCACCCCTGCCTGTTTTTATCTGAATGAGCATCGTACCAGCGTGCGGTCGTGCATCACTACTGCGTGATGTTCGTTAAGGACCCCACGCTAGTGGCTGTACTGCACTTGGTAAATTTCTCATCTACAGCTGGGAGACAAGTCGCCCGTTGAGGTAGACCAAGTTCTAGACTTTATAAACATACACACAACCCAATTTTTTTTTCTTGAAGCACCTGCATACCTGTCGGGGTGCAGGCTCCATTCGTCAGCGTCAAAGCAGTGGGTGAGGCCGCTGGTAGAGCCAGCCTGGAACCCAACACTCGAGGGGCGCCTATGAACAGACATGAATCAGCATAGAAGTGCATGATCGAGACACAAAAAACCTTAGAGCAACATTAGCACTGTGTAGATGCGTCTGGCAGTTCCGCTTGAAGCAGGTGACACCACGCAGTATAGGTCCCATCGGAGTGCCTGCATACCTGTCGGGGTGCAGGCTCCATTCGTCCGCGTCAAAGCAGTGGGTGAGGCCGCTGGTAGAGGCAGCCTGGAACCCAACGCTCGAGGGGCGCCTATGAACAGACATGAATCAGCATAGAAGTGCATGATCGAGACACAAAAAACCTTAGAGCAACATTAGCACTGTGTGGATGCGTCTGGCAGTTCCGTTTGAAGCAGGTGACACCACGCAGTATAGGTCCCATCGGAGTGCCTTCATACCTGTCGGGGTGCGGGCTCCATCTGTTCGTGTCGGAGCAGTCGGCGAGGCCGCAGGTGGGCAACCCAACGCTCCAGGGGCGCCTATAAACAGACATGAATCAGCATAGAAGTGCATGATTGAGACACAAAAAACCTTAGAGCAACATTAGCACTGTGTGGATGCGTCTGGCAGTTCCGCTTGAAGCAGGTGACACCACGCAGTATAGGTCCCATCGGAGTGCCTTCATACCTGTTGGGGTGCGGGCTCCATCTGTTCGTGTCGGAGCGGTCGGCGAGGCCGCAGGTGGGCAACCCAACGCTGCAGGGGTGAACAGATATGAATCAGCATAGAAGTGCATGATCGAGACACAAAAAACCTTAGAGCAACATTAGCACTGTGTGGATGCGTCTGGCAGTTCCGCTTGAAGCAGGTGACACCACGCAGTATAGGTCCCATCGGGATGCCTTCATACCTGTCGGGGTGCGGGCTCCATCTGTTCGTGTCGGAGCGGTCGGCGAGGCCGCAGGTGGGCAACCCAACGCTCCAGGGGCGCCTATGAACAGACATGAATCAGCATAGAAGTGCATGATCGAGACACAAAAAGCCTTAGAGCAACATTAGCACTGTGTGGATGCGTCTGGCAGTTCCGCTTGAAGCAGGTGACACCACGCAGTATAGGTCCCATTGGAGTGCCTGCATACCTGTAAAGGTGCTGGCACTGTCTGTCCGCGTTATTGCAGTGGGGGAGGCCGCAGGCGCAACCAGCCGACATGCCAACACACTTGGAGTCACTGGAGAGATGCAAGAGAGAAGACGGAAGAATGTTAAGGGGGTGTTATTGCTTTTGGCCCAGGAGTATGGGCCCACTGGTGCAGCACTCACAGCCCACACATTGTTACGTTAAAAGACATTCAAGTTACGTCAATAAGCTTACCTGTTCTAACGGCTGTTTCTTCTAGCTCGTTTGTAGGCTCCCAACATGTGTCTGCACCTCCGACCAGGAAGTTGGTGGAATCACGCAGGGGTGCCTGATGCTCAGGGGAAAATAGCATATGATTTACTGGCCATTAAGAAAAATAAAGTGCATGGAAATTTAGAGAGGTGGATGGTTGTCGTTGCAGATACGCTCTACACTGTAGGTAGGAAATCCAGCCAGTGCAGTACTACCGCTACCCCGGGGTTTTGAAGGGACGTCACATACTACTGATATACTACCGCATGCCAGCACAATGTTTATCCAAGTTAAGACTGGTAAGGTAAGGGTCGAACCCTAGATCCTTGAATTGCTGCAGTGCGTGCGTTCGATCCGGCGCTCTAACCCACCTTGCCAAAGCTCTTCGATGATGAGCGGAACGGCTTGAAAAAGAAAGCATGATCGGCCACGGCTGAACCGCATGAAAGCGATTTGGCGAGCGATGAGCTAGGCTATCGCTGGTCGCTGTCGCCGGTCGCAGTGTTCGGTTCTAAATTCCCTGAACACTTTGGTCATCGCCTGGAGGTCGCTGCGTGCGATTTGCCTCGGCGAGTGACGAACTGAGCGACAGGTCTCCTGGAAAATCGCTCACATGCTGGATGAAACAGACAAGCATAAACCGCATGAAAGCGACTTGGCAAGTGACGAGACAAGCAACGGCGACCCGCTTCGCTGTTGCTCGGTCGGTCGCGCGAGGAGGCAAACCGCATGAAAGCGACGGGGGCAAGTGGCCAGGACGGTGAGCGACGTTTTCTAGAAGAGTAAAGCTATACGCACTATGTCGTGCACCTCGATCGGAAATGGCTATAAACACTACGCAGAGAGCTGATGCCATCATGTCATTTGGGTCACCCTTTTCGGACGGCGTGTGTTTAACCGAACCTTACCCCCCTTGCCTGCGTTCAAGCCGCTTCGCGGCGACACTGTGCGGCTGCTAATTGCAAAACTTAACCTGTACACGCCGCTTCGCGGCGTCCAGCCGGCAACCCAAGCCCCGCTGTCCCCTCCTGCACCTCCGGAAAGCGAGTCCCATACCATTCAGTTCTGCAAAATTTCGTAAATATCAATCCTTATCTTTTTTTTTTTTTTCAGTGTTATTTGTAGTAAAGAAATGTCTTAAACATCGTAAATGCCCTATAAAAAAAATAGTGATAAAAAAAAAAAAAAAACTAAGGAAACGTCGCCCTCATTGGGGATCGAACCGCGGACCGCTGCGTATAAAGCAGACACCTTACTATCATGCTACGCCACCTCTTTGGAAACTCGCCGCTGATACGAGCTTCGCGTAGTGCGTAGGGCCATTTCCAGTCAAGGTGCACGACGTAGTGCGTATAGCTTTACTCTTTCCAGTAATCTAAGAACCGAGCGATGCGACTGGCGACAGTGAGAAATCTCCGTCGCTCGTCGCAGACTCTCGACTCCGTCGCTCGTCGCAGACTCTCGACGCCGTCGCTCGTCTCGTCACTCGCTAAATCGCTTACATGCGGTTCGGCTTTCATTGCAGAACTCGGAAATACTCGACAGACAACATGCTCCCTTACCACTCTGCGTCGCTTGTCAAGGGGTTCGCTGCGCTCGCCAGATCTCCGCTTCTTTGAAAATAAACGGGGCAAAACTCCTGGTTTGAGTTGTACGTTCCTCACCGGGAAGCCCAAGGACTCCATCACCCTGGGGCTTCGCACGTAGTCCTCATCACGAAAGTGATAGGAACACAAGCGATCACTCGTAGTTGGAAGCCACGCCGGGGAGGACGGTCGTGCGAGCCGGATCCAAAGCGCACGAAGTTGTTCGTCCTTTGGGAACTGGTGAATAGGTTTTCCGCACCGAATCAGGAGGTTGCCGCAGTCCTCTACCGCACAGTGCCGCACCATCTCGGCATTAGAACGCGACAGGATGATCTAAGCGTTCTAGAGACCGAGGTACGCAAGCGATCGGGCCAATACAACTCAATGCAACGAGTCCACCGTCGCCATCGTCGGGAAAATGGCGAAGGGGTGAAGGCAGAGCAGGCAGCGAAGGCTTGATAATTGCGTTCAGAACTAGAGAAGAGGCGTAGTGAGCCGTACTTCCGCAGAGCGGCGCTGCTCCGTTCTTCCAGGAGACAACCCGTGAGACGACCTAGGTCACTTCCCGGCAATGTACCTAGACGGACATTCCAAACGAGGCGTTCGCGACAAACACCAGGTGCTGTTTGGGAATCGTTTAATTCGTTCTAAAATTCGTTTTCGTGACTTTTTTAACAAGATATTGGTGTGTTCGATGTGATACTGCTCCTTTGAACACATATAGACCATAAAATAGGCGCCAAAATTTCGTTGTAGTATCACTTTGAAGGCCGCTGTACAAACGGGACGTTCTGCAGAGAAGAACCTTCTCTCCCGAAGCCGGGGGACGGGGAGGGAAAGGTCAAGCGTTGGATGAAAAGAGGTTTAGAGAATGGGATTAGCCTCGGGGCGAGCCATCCTCTCGAGAGGGAGTGGGGACGGAACAAAGCTGCCGTGGGGTTCCGGCTAAAAGGTGGAAGAAAGTTAAGCTTGTCAAACGGCGACCTCGGATCCGAGGACGGGCACGCCAGAGAATTTGAAAATAGCTGCTTGATTAGCCGGACGACCCAGTGCGGTCTACTGGTTCTAGAAGGTGACTCGGAAGAAGAAAACTCGTTTTGGTCGAAAACTCTAAAAGCATTCTGGACGTGAACTCTTGGCACAAATAAAAATAACACATGCATGAAAAACTGCGAAGGCACCTAAGCTTTCGCCTATGATGTGGGAATGCATGAGCATTACAGGCAGAGTTATGTTGGCGCAACTTGCAATAAAGAAAGAAAAAAAAAGTTATGTTGGCGCAACGGATAGCGCGTTTGTTTTACGATCAAGAGGGCCTAGCTTCGAAACCGGGCAGGGGATGGTTTTTTTTCTCGTGTTATTTTTTTTTGTTTTTTTTTTTTGGTCACGTGACAAGAAAACTCACATGAACATAATTTTTTTTTGGCCAAGTCACCAGAGATTTTTTTTCTAATTTCTCATTTTCTTTAGTCTTTCTTTCTTTCTTTCTTTCTTTTTTCCTTTTTTCGGTTTATGCTTCCTATCGCAAAACTATTTGCACCTATTTCGCGTTACATTGGCGTTAGCCAAATCGTTTTATTTATGGCAGGGAATTCTGCCGTACGTATCTTATGTTACTATTACCAACCCTGGATTTCGTCCGGCAACCAGTTTGGGAATGACGACGCCAAATTTGTGTTATAATTTCTTTGAGGTCTAAGGCCTCGTTATCCGTCGGTCTCTAAGATTGGCCCTTCAAGTATCTTTTGGGAAAGAGTTGACGACAGGCATTTTTAAGGAGCACGTGTGTCGACCAGAGTGAACATTGCTGAAGCGCCTCTAGTGTGATTTTGGCCGTAAATAACTGGAGGCCCCGGGCAAACCAACCCAATGGAGAAAAGTATCTACCTTTCTGGTTTCATAGAGAGCTATGAAAGTCAGAAGGGACGAATCCAGCCGAGTCAAACTACCGGCTTGCAAACGCAATCGTGTTGATAATAGCGCAAAGGAGTTTGTATGACTCTCTCTTGCGGTGCGCAGAGGGTAAAGGCACGGAAGTTATATACGCTTTTGCCTATTCACCTCCCGAACGGTTGGGTATTGGCTGCAGAGATCTATTTCGCTTTTTTTTATTACGGGATTATATCTTGATTTCTTTGTTCCTAGTTTCACAGACGGAACGAAATCGCTTTTCTCGTGTGGTGTCACGGCGGGAAGACAGAAATCAATCAGAGTACCGAAATTCGACGCTTGTGCTCGTTCTATAGCGCTTCTAAAAACCGCGCGATCACGGCTGTGTATCGTCAACATTGCATAAACTGCCGTTACTTGTACTCGTATTGCATCGTGAGGGAACGACTATGACTGGGTAAACAGAAATAGGGAGAATGGGTGCGTGTGATTTGTTGAAGTTCGAATCAACAAATCGAGCTTCAACGAATGCGATAGTATTGCATTCACTCAACCAGCTATATGAGTTTTCAGATCCTTCCAAGTATGCGATTCGTGTTCTGCCAGTGGTACCTCAGTTAAATTAAAAAGCAAAAGCCACGTTAAAAAAAAAAAAAAAAAAAAATTACGGTGACTCGAGTTGCTCCCGCGCCGAATCATGTTTCACGTAAGCGTAATTTTGGGTTCGATGCACGGCGAGGGGTCTTCAATTATAAAAAATATTTTGATTACGATTATTTGCGGCGCTAAAAATTTGAAAGCCAAGCAGTGAAGACGATGGTGTTCTTATAAATATTATATACATTTTATTTTACACTGTTTGAATACGCTGCCGTCGTTATGTCCTTGAATTATTGGCTAGCTTGTGGCGGACAGGGAAGTCTGGCAGGACCATTATGATAGGACCTACACTAAACCTGCCGCGCTTCGAAAAATGTTAGTCCAATGCATACCAGCTTGTTCAAGGCGGGCGAAGCGTTACGCATCCGGCAAAGCGCATTAAATCGCTGCCCGCGACGTTTTTTATTTTTTATTTTTTTTTTTTGTTTTTGTGCAGCGAGATAATTTTTAGTCAAGCAGCACGCCCCCTCTACGGCGGGTTATGCCGGATTAACGGAGGCGTCTCCTAATCCATTCTCCGCGTTGGCCCCTCGGGGGAGGGCGGTGAAGGGAGGAAAGGAGGGCAGAAGAGGAGGAAACGCAAAAAAAAGTGGAAAGAGCGAACTTTATTTTCGGCTTCAACCTCGAAACCCGCCCGCTCCGTGGGAGTACCGGAAAGAGAAATCTTGGCGGAAGGAGAGGAAGCGAACGAAGTGTACGCGATCCCCCTGTCCTGCGGGACCAGGTACATCGGGCAAACGGGGCGATGCCTCAACGACCGATTCCGAGAACATCAAATGGACGCCGAAAGAGCTGCTTCGGAGTCCAAGCACCCGATCGTCACTCACGGGAGAAAATGTCCCGGTTGTGCTCCTAATTTATGTAATAACAAAAACGGCTTGACATAACAAAAATAACAATTTAATTAAACGTTGCGCCTCCAATGCGGGAGGCATCTTCAGTAGAGCACAGAGCGAGTGAGAGTCGCACAAAAAAGTTCGGCTATTTAGGCATAAAGTTTGTGTACACGTCCGGCAGGGGGCCACGGTTCTTGTTTACCAACGATGAATCACTTCCGCGTTTGTCGTTCTGGATGAACCAAGATTCCAGCAGCTTCCTCGGTTCCCACCTTTTATCCCCCTCCAAGGTCGATGCCTTGTCAATGTCAAATTGGTGTCCTGACGTCCATGCGGGTCGACGAGTTCGGACTCGAAGCCGAACGCTGACAGGCTGGGCAAGGCGACAAGGTCACCGGCAGAAGCGGCCTTTCCTTTTATGCGTTGTTGATGCCCCTTCGACCTCGCCTTTTGCAAATCCTCCCCACTTGGTTTTGCGTCTTCGTGTGGCTGTCAGCGAGCTCGACAGCCGCTTTAAGCAAATCAAAAGGATGAAGCAAAACGCGTGACTCAGCGTGACCTCTCTACATACGACGCGTAGGACAAAAACGTTTGGACGAAAATTTGTCACGTGACTTTCTCTGTCACGCTGATAGGATCTCTGGGGCTGTCGTTTTCGCCGTTTGCCTAGTTATAGAAATAAGCAGGCCACGTAGGTCCGGTTTTCGAACTGGGCTCTTCAGTGTTCTGTTGCTTTCGTGGGTTGGAGACGCGGCCGTGTTTTTTCGTCGTAAACGGTCGGAATACGTCCATGCCAATTTTTCGGTAACAGTCATTTTTTGCACCGGAGTTCGTGGAATACTTGTGATGTGTTTGTTGGACACGCTTCGACAAAAACTGCTCTTCGCCGACGACGAGACGTCAGTTGAATGTGCGCAACCTTCTTCCTCGAATGTGTTTGTGGGGTGCCTGAGTTGGATTATGCATCTATCAAGGATTACATGATATCGCTCTTTTATTAGTAAGTGCACTGCAAGCATGATTCTGATAGTCGTCCTGCTTTCCTTTCATTCTCCGTGGTTTTACGTGTGATGAGTTTTGCTTGGCATGAGGACAGTGTTAATTGTATTTTATAATTTGCTTTTCGTTTTACAGAGAAGTGTGACCTTGTAAATATGTTGAGAATACACTGTGTGTAATGATAGTTGTTTAATAAACTTCTGGGAGCGATCGAAAAAATGTGTTTGTCCGTATAAGTGATTGGATATGCAACAAATGACATGCAACGTACACATACTTGCACGACGTTCGGCCAATACGAAGCAGACGCATCGTAGAGTTTTCGCACAATATTACGTGAACGCTAGGCCGGGGCGAAACAGCTGTACGGCAATACCTGCCGGGTATCAAACGGTGGTGCAAACCTGGACAGTTGAGCGATATTGGAACCGACTTTCGGCCGGCACTGGCACGATACTGCAAAGTATTGCCGTGCTGTTTGGGAACGGAGGTGATGACATCTTACTATCGTGCTTCCAACGCTTATTTATTTTATTTCTCTTCTGGGACGCGTAAAAGAGCACTTCTGTGACACACCAGAGATATTCGAAACTTGGGCTGGCCTCTCGGCTTTCTTTGCCACTTTTGGCACTTACTTGGCACTTCAGTGGGTAGCCAGGAAAGAACCAAACTTCGGCATGCCCCGAATCGACAAATTAAGATTTACTGCGGCAGTTATGGCTCAAGTCTGGCACTTACTTTGGGACAACTGTGGCGGACCAGAGAAAAGCCAAACTCGGCGAGGCTGAAATACCGAAATTAGGCGTTGCTTTGGTAGTTATGGCTCAAGTATGGCACACTTCGGCACTCCTGTGGCGTATCAGAGAAACGCCAAATTTTGGCGTGTCCGAAATACCCAAATTAGGCGTTGCTCTGGCAGCTATGGCTGAATTATTGCATCAACTTTGGCGCTCCTCTGGCGGACCAGAGAAACGCCAAACC